CCTATTGTATCCCAACCTCGACTATATCCCAGGTTTTCAGATTTCCCTTATTGTAAATCAATATTAATATTAATATACAGTAAATCTACCTCATTGTATCCCACTCAGATATATCCCTATCCCCAAAATTTTATGGTCCCGATTTCCATAATCTATTATCGTTTATTTTCCCCTCTGTATTGCACAAGTATCTATTTATGTAATCTGTGTCAGGTTTGTCAATTATTTACCACTTTTTAATAAATTCAGCCACAAATCATGCACGAATCAGGCCACATAAATCAGGCCACATAAATCAGGCCACATAAATCAGGCCACATAAATCAGGCCACATATATCGGGCCATAAAATAAATATATAAGAGAAAGCGTCTTCGCAAGGTTTATTAAATCAACTTACAACTGTATCTATCAACTGTACATAGTTATATAACCATTATTTTATCAGTAATAATTTATAAATCCTCTGTACTTTAAGATGGCTAGTAATATAAAATATATGCATAATATAATTCGATGCTTAGAAAAGTCAAAACGCCAAACTTTATAACAATATTTATTAATATTAACCAATAAAATTGTATGCTTTGAATAATGTTACACACATATATACCTCAGTTGTATCCCACCTCGAATATATCCCCAAAAAAGTTCCGTCCCAAAGTGGGGATATAAACGAGGTATGACTGTATACCATATTAATATACCCTTACAATCACAGTGAAGTAACCACCAGAGACAGCTGTTGGCAGATATAGTATTTCTGCATATAAGAGAAAGCCTCTTTCACAGGCTAGACATTACAGCATGTTATACATAAATTTTGTAAATGTATCTTGCTATCAATATTTGCTTCCAGATACTCACATATGTCAGATATTATTTTTTTATACACATTAGAAATTAATGCAATGGGTTGTAAATGTATAAGTATTTATTTGTAAACAAAATTTACTTCGACGATAACAACGTTTACATTTGAAATAAAAAACTACTGATAGACATTGACTGAATTGGAAAGTGTTTACTTTTCACATGACTTAACCCTGACATCTTATGATTGATTTGCTCGAATGCATCACACAAAACCTAAATACAATATTACTTTATTTAGAAGGGCTGTTGAGACTACTTCTTGTTTATTTCCAAATTTGGGGCATCAAGCTGTTGAGAACGCGCTTGACTCTAACAATGGATAACAATAATTATTTTCAACCAGTTAAAATTGAAAAAACCATTTTATGTATTACGTATATATGTTTGCCGGCTTATCGAAAAAAAATTCATCCACTAAATATGTAAAACGAAAGTCCCTTAAGATTGGATAATAAATTTTTAGTATTATGCACGTGAATTCTCATATATGTTTTACAAAGATCACAATTGCAACACAAATTTAGATTTGGGTCAGTGTGGCCTTTTTTATAATTTAATAATGTAACTTACGTGCGTCAGAAATTCCTGATATAACAATTGACAGCATTGTAAGAATTAATGTATTATGATAATCTAGAGCGGACAAGGCAATTTACGTAGTAAAATGTTCTGAATAAGTTTATGCAAATGCATCCATGGGAGAAATACTATACGTATTTTACGGATAACAATTAGCACAAGATGTTAATGTGGTTAATACGTTGATAAAATAGATAAGTAATGTATATAACATTAGGATTTCAATCACTTGAATTTTGTATATTAAAAGGCATTATTGACTTTTTATAGACCAAAGACCATTCCATGATTCAATCTAGATTCACATCACAACCTTATTACCAGAAAACGTACATCGTTAATGTATAGACTACTTGCGCTTAGCTTCTATCAAAGCAACACATCTAATATATACCTCGACACACGTTACTGTCAAAAAATACATCCCAAACTCTTCAGTAATACTTTCTGCAAGTAAATTGTAATTGAATACTTAACCCGTTTTCATCAAGTCGCTTATTAAAGTACCCGCAAACTAATAGCCTTGATCGCTGATACTTTCAATTACTTGCTGGCGTTGAATAACCAATTCCGATCTGACTTCGTTTGACTTTCAAAACATAATACTGAGCAATATTAATAACAGGCGGTACATACTAACGCTTTATAATCGTTGGGGAAAGATTAGTATAATCGACGCTGTGAGAGAAACAATACTGTAACATGGTATTTCTACTTCTCGTTCAGATAAACGTAAGTTTGTTTGTCTATATCACTCATTTAAATCATACTTTTCTACCCAAGATGTAATCGCAGAGTTGCTCACAATCTTTGGTAACACTCGCAAAGAATTGACCGGGTTTCTCGCGCAAGGCCATGACGAGGCTTACGGGTGACTCACGTAAATTGTAAAAGCTATTTTCTGGTGTAGGAGACAAATATTTCAAGCAAGTTGCGTGGTTAGTCCGAGAATTCGAAACTTGCTTATTTGTGTTTGTCATTAGCACTAGCATAGGTAATTACAAGGAAAAAGTATTCTGCAAATGATGTAACCGTTACGTTGCATATCCAACTAGGGTATTTCTAATCTGATAATGCGTCTTCATGCATCATTTAAGTGACTAGGATTTATATGGACAAGATTAACTACCAGCTCACTGTAATACTTTTAATTAACAAAAGTATGATATACTAGACGCAGCCCCATTCGTACATTTTGAATCACGCCATCGCATTAGATCTGATTATCAATCAGAAAAATTTGAGGGCCCCTCTTCCGAGTTGATCAATAGTTTGTGTCAGTAATACTAATAATCGTTTATGTTTCGCACTCGAAGCCAGACCGACTTTGAGCGATAGTCAAATGAATCATATGTTAGAGTGTGATATAAGCCCCTCCCTTCAACCTCTATCTCCGTGTACTACCAGGCAGGCTATTTATGCGGTGTCACTTAAATTATCAGATCATATTCAAACACGCTTGCATACATTTCATTGCTTCGAATATTTGGGAACTCACATGTCTAACCCATAGTTAGTACTGAAACTCGGGTTTTCACGTTTATGTTGCCAAATCTTTTAAATGTTTGTTGTGGAAATAACTAATTAGAATATCCCCTTTATTTTGAGCCACAACAAGAAACTATTATAAAAAATATATAATTGGCACTATCTATAGTGAACGTGGTTATACGGAATTTTGGTGAACCAAATCGAATCTGCTAAAGTGAACTTTTGTTAATATTTGTGAACAGAACTGCAACTTTCTGTGCAGGTATCTTAGAGTTTATTTTGAATGTTATTGAGACGGGAGGCAATTATTATGTTTTGTCAAAATTACGTGAATCAAAAGTGCGCATTATATACAAAAACTTATCGCTGACTCAGAGTTATCTTTACAATGACGTAATGCGCACGCTTTTGTCATGCTCATCACGATTTTTTCATTTGATATCTTTCTCAGATTCGTTAGCGGAATACTTGTCGTGACGATATTATGAGGATCCCCCTTGTCAATAGAAGTTTACTCCCGTAGTGATACACACTATTTTTCACTCCATAAGTAGGAACAAATTGGAGCTAGCTAGTAAATAAACAGAGTAACTATTATTAATAGTCCAATGGAAGAATACAGAGAGGTACCATTGATATTAAGGAGAATGGAGAAGCAACCAAACCTACCAATGAGAGAGTTGATGATAGAACACATATTTCCGCTGCCTTTGAGTAGTACGTGTAAAAGCAGATAAATTGCTTATTTATTTTTTCGGTATAGTCAATAATCCCACTTTTTCTGCACTTTGTAATATTAATTATCGGGAAGAAATAACTCGTGGGCTGACACACTATTTACAATTGTGTTGGTTATAATTAAATATGCTGTACGACCTAAAAGTCTCGGGTTTCATTCCTTGACTAGAATAATTTTTGATACCGCCCTCTGACTAAAAAATTTTGTGCAAGTATATATTGAAACGATAAGGAATGTGTTATGCAAGTCTTTATCAAAGAGGTAATTGGTACGTTAATCAAATCTGATAATGCGCCTTCATGCATAATTAAGTGATAGTTGGCAAAGATCAACATAACATTAAAAATAATCCTGTAATTAATATTAATACTCTGATTTACTGTTATGCCTTATGCTATTATGTCATCCGGATCTGATCTCACCGACTGCTGACTCACTTGTCCGTCACGCTAAGTAACGCTCAGACTGCCTCAAAGCCCAGACTGGTCTTGAATAATAATGAATCATAATGTCAAATCGATCATACAAGTATATGGTGTCATCTCCGTGTACGACATATGCGGTGTCACTTCAAATTATCAGATTATCAGATATTTCGCATTGTAAAAAACTTCCTCTAACAGCGAATGGTTTGTGCATCTTTCCTTTTATTCGAATACGAAACATACAAGACCAGCAATCAACAGTTTATAAGCGAAAGTTTTCCTATATGGTAAGCATAATAGAACTAACAAGATTCCCCACTTGGTTCTCACGTTCGTGTTACAAAATTTTTTATCAGATTTGACGATACACAATATAGCAAATAAACGTTTATTGTGGAGTATGCTATTTGGAACCTCCCCTTGAACCGAACGTATATGGGAACTATGATAAGTTGATGACGCTTTTAATGTAATGTGGTAACGAGCTAGACGTCCGATCACACGTTAAAATTCATGTTCTGTAAGTTGAATTGTAAAAGATCTGAACTGGTTTAGATCGCTTACCCATTGACATTCGCCTAGTTGGGTATTGCTTTAGTAAGTGAACATCACTGGCCATCCATATGATCAAAAGAAACTTGAACTGTAAAACTAGTGCGGTAAAATGATCCAACAGTCGATCAAAAATTAAATATACAGGTGTTCTTATCATGATTCACACTCGTGTTTTATCTCCGATTTTTGCCGTTATACTTGTCCAACAACTTTATCCAATGCCATACATATATATAATACGCACTCGAACTGTGTTTATTCCGTGTGTGCATCCTGCCGCTTGGTCTTCCTATAAAACACACTATTGACGTTTTTATATAAAAATTGCCGAACATCATGGTTTATTTATTTGACGTACCTGCATTTCTTATTCTCTTCAGAGAGACGGTTGAATGTAGTGTTATTCTTGCTGTGCTTCTCAGTTTTGTTAACAAATTTGTCCCGGAAGACAACCCACAACTGAAGAAAAAATTAAAGAGACAGATATGGATCGGCACTGCTGCTGGACTTGCTCTCACCCTAATGCTCGGTGCTATCTTTGTTGCCATTTTCTACACAATAGCATCTAATCTCTGGGAAAATAGTGAAGCAATATGGGGTAAACGTCACCGTTGCGATAATCAAAGCATACACTAGAATGTCTAACTTTGATCGTCATTATGTCATTTGATAGAGGGTGTTTTCTCCTTGTTAGCGGCTATCGTAACGTTGATAATGTCATTCGGTATGATAAGGGTAAAGCAGTGGAAGACCAAGTGGGAAGGAAAGCTGAAGGATGCCACCGAACGATACCTTGACAGGCATAAGAAGGGAGAAAAGTGGGCTTTGATCGTTCTTCCATTCACCGTTGTCGCCAGAGAAGGACTCGAATCCTTTGTATTCATTGCCGGGGTAAGTCTAACACTATATGAAACACATACAATGAAACCTCTTTGTACCGTCCACTATACATTCGGAGACAGTTTTTTGATTACGACTATATGGGGTACCATTCTATATACCGGTTTCTCCTTATATTCGGTGGGCGGGAGGCCGATCAGTTTAAAGAGGGTTTTACTGTATCACTAAGGACGCGTCATGTATGGGTTTGTAGCTAATTGTACACTGTCTAATACATTATAGATTGGCTTTAATAATCCCGCCTCTGGTCTCCCTATCCCAGTTGTCACTGGAATTCTCGCTGGCTTTGCTGTTGGCTATTTTATTTACAAGGGATCAAACGTTATGTCTCTCAACATTTTCTTCGGCGTAATGACTGTATTTTTATTTCTTATCTCCAGCGGCTTGTTTACAACAGCCGTTGACGAATTACACGAAGCAACAGGAAAGTCCGAAATCGTCTTGTGGAAACTCGAGTGTTGTAGCCCTGAAACGGATAACGGTTGGAAAATTGCCAATGCTCTGCTTGGCTGGAGAAACGAAGCTACATTGCATACGACTCTTGCATATATTGCATGGTGGGTGGTTATTGCCGTTGGTTTGACAATTGTTTATCGTAAAGGCAAGAAGGAGCGTATTGAAGATATCGTTGACGATCGTGAGAATGAAAAGAATGTGGAAATTCATGATGATGATGTAGTATGAATACATATGCAAAGTTATGTTTTGTTAAGCTTAATATTAAGTATTTTTATGAGTATGTGTTATTATTATATGCATATCGAATAAACTATGTTATATAATAATAAATTCTAACATGCTAGCCATTAAGGATGTTGAATAACGCTGCTAACTTTGCGAAATCTCTATGATAAATCCACATTATATTCTTTGGGCATAATTGAAGTGCAGTCATAATTATACATATATTTGGAAGCTAGTCCTGAAGAGTATTCGTTATAATAATGTAATTATGTAGCATTGGCTTTGTAACACTATAGTAATAGATTAATGTGCCATAGAAGACTGACTATTATACAGTGAACCCTCCATTCAAGCACGCCCTCGGGAACGCGTCATTGAATAGAGGGATGCATGAATAGAGGGTCAGCATTTTATTTGTTGCACGTGACTATAACAAAATTTATTGAATCGTAATAGTAAAATAAATATTACTGCTGATGAAAAAACTTATCTATTTGTTTCATTACATTTATTGATTTTTAAACTGATATAACGATCTATTGCATTAATACGCTTTAACAATTTTTTGGAATCTTCCTGCTGTTGTAGAAAAGAACGAACAACCTCTAAACTGCTTGTAAGTTACATCGGTAATTCAACACTATCGTCAACTTCACTATCATCAGCGACATGCACGACAAACAAAGATAACTTCAAAGACATAATAAATTTCGTGCATGACGACAAAGGTAACTCCTACTATTAACAAAGACATTAAACAGTGTTTATTTTCTTTATTCCTTATCGATGCGACAAAAAATGGATAACATGAAGTCGATAAAGATCTCTTTCCCCAACGCATATGTAACACGTATTAATATTGTTTTAGTTTTGTTATTTGTATAGACTGATCATCATAACATTGACCATTTCAAAGGACCGTGTAACATAACTTGGTGTACAAATCACCTGAAAATCACGGGTGTGCATAAATAGAGGGTGGAATTCATATAGCAATGCAGAATATGGAGTTCACTGTATAGATTTTATTCTCGTGCACTGTAACTAACGAAAAAAAAATGGCAACCACCGAGGAAATCAATCAACACGAAGAACGTGCAATCGCAGTGTTAGCGAAGTTCGACAACGGAGATAACAGCGGGAAGCTACTGGAGATGCTGAGGGGTATTGTAGGGAAGGGAGGAGTGCTAAACGCGGCGCAGCGACAGCTGTGGGAGACGCTGGAGAAGGGAAAAAAAAGTTTGGATATGGAGGCGGAAGTGAAAGAATGGGGAGCGAAGCTCCGTGAGATCACAAGTACATCTCAACAGGTAACGACTTTGTGACTCGGGCGTTGGGGACATAGGGTAGTGTGTACAGGGTGAGAACACCCGCGTAGGGAGGAATGTTTGACTTCCACCTGACGTGAAATATGGTCTTAATAACACATAATAATAGACATGGCTAATGTAGTTTTGTTTAAAAGATGTTATTGTAGCTGGAGTTGACTTTTTTCATTCATATTTACACTAATACTGCACATTCCATGTTGTTTCTTATTTCCTGCTGTCTCTAATCTCATCTGTGCAAACCATTAATAACTGCTCAGGTGGGTAATAGTAATGGCTTTATGACTCAGTGTTGGAGTGTATAGTAATAGTAAACATTTACATGGAGTAGAAAGTCACCTTTCTTTAGAGATATCTTGTTTCTGAAATTATGTTAATTAATTTGTGCCCTTTGTTTTCTTACTATTTCCGCCAATTCTTATTCCATTAACCTATCTTTGTCTCTTTGTTACAATTACTATTATTACATTACAGTCAACCCTCTATAAATGCACGCCCTCGGGAATGAGCTGTAGCGTGCATTTACAGAGGGATGCATTTACAGAG